GCTGCTCAAAGATGTGTTAGTCTAACAGGTAAATAATACCCTTTCCTCTGTACCTCAAGGGTTGTCTTTTTGCGGGGGGTGATCCTGGGAGTCAAACTAAGGATCTTGAGCTTCACAGGCAAGCACTGTACTGCTGAGCTATATCCCTGACCTCCTCTGGGGTTGTCTTATAAATTTCCTATAGGAAAATATTTTCTATTGAGATGGAGTCTCAAGGCTGAAGCAGTCCTTTCACCTCAACTTCCTGGCTGCCAAGGACTATAGCACACACCACTTGTGCCCAGTTTGGGAGGAAATCTTGAGTACAGAGGATAAGGTGCTCCCAAAGGACAAAATCACCCCTTTGTGTGCTTGCTAGACACAGAGTAGGGAAACCAAGGCTCTGTGACGCCAACAATGGCAAGTCAATTTTTCTGCCTTGAGAGAGGAGGGTTGTTTTTATTAAGATGTTTTTTTCAAGTTTTGTTAAATTTTCACAAACTTTACTTTCTGGGTCTTTAATATAAAATATTTTGTAATCAAGGAATAAAAGAGTAGAAAAGAAGTAGGGTTTTGGCTATCATCCATAAAATCAAACAGGTGAAACCAATACAGTGGTATCTTGGTTCACAAACATTTTTCTTTGCAAACAACTTAGTTCACAAACTAAAGTGTTTGGCAAAATTTCTTTTTTAGACTCTGTCTGGGTGAGATATAACTGCAGCCATCTTTCTAACACAAACACAAGTGTGGCCTTCTTTTCCAAAATCAGAGAACAGTTTAAGTTTGTGAACCAAGTTACCACTGTATTGTTTCTCAGAGTGACTCTACTTGAGACATTCTCTTAATCTTTTTTTTTTGTACCGGAAATTGAACGTAGGATCTTGCACTTGCCAGGCAGTCACTTCTGCCACTGAGCTATATCCTTGGCCCTCATTCTCTAAATCTTACAGCTTACCCCTGAAACATTTGAAAACAAGAATTTGATACCCATGATAGAAACATTAAGAAAAGAGGGGTGAGAAAGGTTGGGCCTAACTGTTTTTCCAGAGAATTCTCCTCAAAAGCTTTCTCAGACCCACTGTTGTTCTCCTGGATCAGCTACTCTCCACTTTCTTAAGAGCGCCTTTGGCAGCCCAGGCCCAGCCATCTCTGGGTAGCTTGCCCTGCTCTAGGAACTCAACTTTCCTTAAACCTGCCTTTCTAGTATCAAAGAGCTCTCATCAATACTCTGGCTGTGAGGATTGGGGATAAGGAAGGATCTTCTTCTTTTGCTAAATAATGGGCACTGGACATAAAACTCTCCTCTGGATGAGAAGAAATCAGGCTTTGGTGGGCTGATCTGTAAAAATTTTGGAGGCCTGTGAGTTTGTGAAAAGTATGTAAAATGAACAGACGACCCCTAAACAAAAATAGAAATTCATGAGTCCATACTGATATAAACAAACAAATGGGGAAAAAACTCCTCCTTACAGTAGAACTCCAAGAGCAAATGCAGAAGAAATAAGGGAGGCAAATAATTAACATCAGGCAAACATGACCCCAACAACTGCTTCAGGCAACTGTCATCAAAAGATGTTAAAATAAGTGGGTAAACGTGCAATGGGAAACATGACGTTTACATAGTTTCAAAGTATTTTCTACAAGATGCTTAGTAATTAAAAAGAGAAAAATAGTAACTCCCCAGTGAAGAAAGCCTGCAGGGACCACTTACATAAGTGATCCAAGTTAATATGCTCAGTAAAGTGATAAATCATCATGATGTGCCACCTGAGCTGGTGCACTGAGAAGGATGAAATGTCAATTCTGTGGCCTTCTTCAGGAGGCTGAGGCAGGAGGTTCATGTGAACCCAATAGTTCAAGACCAGCCTGGGAAACACAGTGAGACCCCATCTCAAAAAACCAAAAGACAAGAAAACAAGACCACAGGAAAACTGCAATTGAAGGCACTGTACCAAATAGCTAGTCAATACTCTTAAAAAGCATCCACAGTATACCATGCCAGCCCTGCCCCTGGGATGCACTCAGATGGCAATTGAGGCTGGGCATGTGCACCTGTAATCCCAGTGCTTGGGAGGCTGAAAACAGGAGGATCACTATGGATATGATCTGTGTAGTGAGACCCTGTAGACCCTGTACTAAATACATTTTTAAAAAAAGTATGGAAATCATGAAAGATAAGTAAAAGATAAATTACTTCAAGATTAAAGGGGACTAAAGAGCCCTCACAGATAAATGCAAGATTATTAGGTTCTGGATCAGAAAAAGGATATTAATAACATAATGTTACCTTCCTGATGTTGATGATTATGGTGATATATTAACATTCTCTGGCAAAAATTATATGAGAACTTTTTGTCTTATTTTTGAACAGCAAAAATTACTATAGGGCCGGGGAGATGGCTCAGTAGGATAAGTGCTTCCCTGGCAAGCACAAGGGCCTGAGTTCAATCCCCAGTTCCAC